TTTTTTCCATTTTTAAAAACCGTTTAAATATATCACCATTCCACCATAATGATGGTTGAATTCGAAGTTCGGAAAAATCGAAATGAAACTGCCCGACAAAATGGCTGCTCTTTGTATGCAAATTGTGTAAAAGTATGCTACGAATGTTGTGGACCCTCTAGAAGTCACAATTGTTATCTAATTTTGATGAAACTTAAAACATATCTTTATATCCCAAAGATCTCAGTCCCTTTTGATATTTGCGCATTTCAGACCATAACTTTCTGGATTATTGCCCCTGATTGTACAAAAAATCCTGTTTGTTTTTAGCTTGTTCTCTATCCATGTCTTGCAAAATGTGGGCGTATCCTACCTGGCAGCCGGTGGTTATCTGATTTTGTTGAAAGTCAAAATGTAAGTTTATAACGCAAAGATCTTGGTTCCTTTCGAAATTTGCACATATCGGACTGTAACTTCCTGAATTATGGCTCCTGATTGTACGAAAAATCACGTTTTTATACGCCCACATTTTCATGTGGACGTATATTGTTGTCACCCCTGTCCGTCCGTCCGTCCGTCCACAATTGTTTGTGAACACTCTACAGGTCACAATTTTTATACACCCACATTTCCATGTGGACGTATATTGTCGTCGCCCCTGTCTGCCCACAATTTGTTTGTGGACACTCTACAAAATCTTATTCGATTTTGACGAAACTTGAAATATAGGTTTATCTCCAAAAGATCTCAGCTGCTTTCGATATTGGCATGTATCGGATCGAAACTTCATAGATTATGGCCCCTGTTTGTACGAAAAATCATGTTTTTAGCTTGTGGACCCTATATAGGTCACAATTTTTATCCGATTTTGTTGAAACTTGAAATGTAAGTTTATAACCCAAAGATCTCGGTTCCTTTCGATATTCGCGCATATCGAATTGTAATTTCCTGAATTATGGCCCTTGATTGTAGGAAAAATCAATTTTTATCCAATTTTGTTGAAACTTGAAATGTAAGTTTATAACACAAAGATCTCGGTTCCTTTCGATATTTGCAAAAATCGAATTGTAATTTCCTTAATTATGGCCCTTGATTGTAGGAAAAATCACTTTCTTTTTAGCTTGTTCTCTATCCATCTCTCGAAAATGTGGGCGTATCCTGCCTTGCAGCCGCTGGTTATCCGATTTTGTTGAAACTTGAAATGTAAGTTTATAACCCAAAGATCTCGGTTCCTTTCGATATTTGCGCATATCGGACCGTAACTTACTGAATTATGGCCCCTGATTGTACGAAAAATCGCGTTTTTAGCTTGTGGACCCTATAGAGGTCATAATTTTTATTCGATTTAAAAAAACGTATTATTATATCACCGTTACACCCTAAGGACGGCTGAGTTCGAATTTTGTGAAAATCGGCCCAACATTGACAGGCAAAATGACCGCCGTTCGTTCTCATATATGCGTAAAAATATAGTATATCAAGGTTGTGGACCCTATAGAGGTAACAATTTTTATCCGATTTTGTTGAAACTTGAAATGTAAGTTTATAACCCAAAGATCTCGGTTCCTTTCAATATTCGCGCATATCGAATTGTAATTTCCTGAATTATGGCCCTTGATTGTAGGAAAAATCACTTGCTTGGCAGCCGCTGGTTATCCAATTTCAACAAAACTTGAAATATAGGTTTATCCCCCTAGGATCTCGGTTCCTGTAGATATTGGCATGCATCAGACAGTAACTTCCTGAATTATGCGCCCTTATTGTACGAAAAATCCTGTTTTTAGCTTTACATTCTGATTTACAAAAACATTCAAATATATCACTGTTACACCGTAATGTTGGTTGAGTTTGAATTTCATGAAAATCGGACGAAATGGCCACCCCTCCACGCCAATAGTGTAAACATCTGGTATATCAAGGTTGTGGATCAAGGTTGTGGACCCTCTAGATGTCACAATTTTGATCCGATTTTAATGAAACTTGAAATGCATGTTTATAACCCAAAGATCTTGGTTCCTGTCGATATTCGCACATATCTGATCTGACCTTCCTGGATTATGGCCCTTGATGTTACGAAAAATCGCTTTTTGTTTAGCTTGTTCTCTATCCATCTCTTGAAAAATGTGGGCATTTTAAGAATTTATTTTTTTAAGTCAAATTCAAAGGACTTATTCAACAGCTTGATCCTTTTCTGGGTGGAAACATTTGTCTTCTTTGTGGGCACGACTCCACACAAACTTGATTTTAACGATCGTGCAGGTTGTGCCTTCATTTTTCTTGAAAACATCATTGCCATTATTAAAACGATGCTCCACGGGCATTGAGGCAGAATCATTTCAAGGGAATGGACACCCTTTCGTCTTAAACCATTTTGTTAAGAAGCAACAGATATGAAGCTTTCAGTAATGAATCAAAACATAGCCATTGTGAAGGGAAATAACTCTTGTGATATACTTGGAGACAGACCACCATTAAATTTCACCATCTCGGTACCCACAAATTGTACTTCATCTATTTATAGCAATTATCTCTCGTCTCTTTTCTCCCCTTTTGCACGCCCATTTTTATACGCCCACATTGAAATGTGGTCGTATATTGTTGTCGCCCCCATCAATCCGTCCGGCGTCCACAATTGCTTGTTGACGCTCTATAGGCTAAAGTTGATATCCGATTGACTTTATACACAGTGTTTAAGGTCATGAGATGAAGAAGCCTATTGATTTTCAGCGATTTTCGAAAATTACTGCGAGAGTTATGGCCCTTGATCACTTCAAAAAATCTTGTGGACACTCTAGAGGTCAAAGTTAATATCCGATTGACTTTAAATTTATACACAGTGTTTAAGGTCATGAGACGAAGAATCTCATTGATATTCAACGATTGTTGATAATTACTGCAAGAGTTATGGCCCTTGATCACTTCAAAAAATCTTGTGGATGCTCTAGAGGTCAAAGTCAATATCCGATTGACTTTAAATTTATACACAGTGTTTAAGGTCATGAGACGAAGAATCCTATTGATTTTCAGCGATTTCCAATAATTACTGCCAGAGTTATGGCCCTTGATCACTTTTAAAAATCTTGTGGACGCTCCAGAGGCCAAAGTTAATATCCAATTGACCTTAAATTTATACACAGTGTTTGAGGTCATGAGACGAAGAAGCCTATTGATTTTCAACGATTTACGATAATTACTGCCAGAGTTATGGCCCTTGATCACTTCAAAAAATCTTGTGGACGCTCTAAAGGCCACAGTTAATATCCGATTGAGTTTAAATTTATACACAGTGTTTAAGGTCATGAGACGAAGAAGCCTATTGATTTTCAGCGATTTCCGATAATTACTGCCAGAGTTATGGCCCTAGTTCAATTCAAAAAATCTTGTGGATGCTCTAAAGGACAAAATTAATATCCGATTGACTTTAAATTTATACACAATGTTTAAAGTACAATTTCCGATAATTACTGCCAGAGTTATGGCCTTTGATCACTTTGAAAAATCTTGTGGACACTCTAGAGGCTAAAATTAATATCCGATTGACTTTAAATTTATACACAGTGTTTAAGGTCATGAGATGAAGAAGCCTATTGATTTTCAGCGATTTCCGATAATGACTGCCAGAGTTATGGACCTTGATCACTTTGAAAAATCTTGTGGTTGCTCTAGAGGCTACAGTTAATATTCGATTGACTTTAAATTTATACACGTGTTTAAGGTCATGAGACGAAGAAGCCTATTGATTTTCAACGATTTCCGATAATTACTGCCAGAGTTATGACCCTTGATCACTTTGAAAAATCTTGTGATGCTCTAGAGGCTAAAGTTATCATCAGATTGACTTCAGATTGATACACAGACTGACAGAGTTTAAGGTCTTGAGACAAACAAGTATATTGATTTTCAATGAATCTTTTTGACTTGAACAGCTAAATCCATGATGTTAAAAGTTTCATATATTAAATGTTAGCATTTATAAAAACCAAACAAATTCTAATGGTTTTCTGATAATTACTTAATGAGTTGTTACTCTTAATCAGATTTTAATGTATGATAAATATTTCATTACCGAAAAAAAGAAAAATATGCGACAACTCTTGTTGAGTGCCCGAACGATATAGCTGCTGGGGGGGTATGTTTCGTTGCCTGGCAACCTATCTTTGTTGATTTTTTGGTCTAGAATGGATGAAGAGGGTTTAACATTTTCTGCCACGTTTTGGTAAATATTCATGATTTTGAGGCGGAAGGATAACGGGGTTATCAGGTTGGCTACGGTGATATGTACGGCAACTAGTTACATGTTTTTAGTATGCTTCTTCAAGTTTGTGTATCTCAAAATTTTGTTGGTCAACCTTATACAAATTTTAGTGCAAAGACATGATCATTTGTTCCTCTGTCTGTAGTGAAAACCATTTAGCCCAACGAAAATTTTGGGAAAAGTTGGAGGTGGGCAAAGAGGCCAGAATTAACATTGAAGTCAATGGGGAAATTAATGATGGTCTGCCTCCACTTCAGGTTGACACACAAAATAAAATAAAAAGATTATGGAAAAGTGCAATAAAATAATTTAAGTCAGGGGTGGTTTTAGTTGGTGTAATTGGCTGCATTTATATAATACATATACATTTATTCAAACTCATATTGATCCACCAAATGAACAAGAATTATCAACCCACAAACTGGTGTATGTCTGCAACAAAAGTTTATTTATTTACCCTTCCAAAGATATATAACAGGCGCTTCTGCTGTATTCCATTTATTAAAATGGAATGTCAATACATGTACGCCCATTGTATTGTACTCAACTTAGAATAATACAGTTGTGTCTTTGGAAAGGCAAATGGTTCAGCTTTTGAAGAGTGCATAATGTAAGGTATGCCAGGGACCAATTCTATGTAAGCAATTATCTCTCTGGCTCTCCTCTGTTTGTCACCCATCCAATAGCCATGAATAAGGCTAGGGAGAGAGTTAGATACATCGAACAGGATTTATACCCTTAATAAAAACAAAACAAATGTACAGTATACTGTTTCAATAAAATACAAAGGATTTTAATTAGGTTAATATTAGAGAACTTAAATATGGAAAACATCTGAAAATGATAACTGATGATCTATTCCGAGCTTAATAGGCAAGCATAAAATCTTCTCAAAGTAATATGATTGATGTACTTCATTGATTCTTCGGTTAAATTAATTCTGTGTCAACTGGAAAGACTCAGACATCTTAGTTATTGCCTTGGTTTGTGATTAGGGCATTAATTTTACTTTAGCAGTGACAAGTCTGATGAAATAATAGTCGAGTGAAGAAAAGCCGTTAAGTCTGATACACATAGGTATTAGTATTTAACAAAGGTTAGTCAGGCTTTCAAAGGAGGCACAATGTTTTTTATAGAGCAATCATGTGGTTCCTGCCATTCTTCCAGTCTAATATCAGTTCAGTAGTTTATTGTTTTTATAAGGTGATGGCGAAGAAAGTAAGTTTTATGTTAGACTAATCTTCTGAAACAAAAGTTAAGTCACAAAGGTGTTACATACAATAATTATTCTCTGACGAATATTGACATTTAGCTAAGAATAATAAGACAGTGTTATTTCAGATGTGATCAACATTATTCTTCATCACAGTGACAGTAAATTAAACCTACTAATTTTTTTGTGGGATGAAAAAATAATGTCAAGATCAGAATCAAAGGCTTTGAAAAAAAAACCATGAATGTTATTTATTACACCATGTAGAGTGCTAAAACTACCAGAATTCAGGAATACGTACACAGGGTCGGATTAAGAGACCAAAGCACTGAAAAGACAATGGTACCCTAATATATGTAATTCAAAATCAAAATAATGATAAAGCGTACAATGAAACAAAATTAACATGTATGATTCGATAAATAAAATAGCTTGCTTCTAGGTTTTTTTTATTAAAAATCTTGATTAATGAGATGATTAAGATATTGAATGTACAACTCTATTTTACCATATACAGTACTGCAAATTGGGCCCGGTTCAACTGCACCATTTACACAACGGTAAATCTGGCATTGGAAAAACTCTGTGGTGCTCCCTTCTGTTGGTGACCAAAGCATATGCTTATTTTATTATATCAGGGTTGTAAAATTCCTGCAATTGTGACACAATGATAAAATTATGGGGTGCCATACTTTGGGCTCAGTGGCTTAACATTGAGGTTTTAAATAGGAATTTATACTTTGGGGGTTGGTTAAAAGTTAATTTTTAACTTAATAAAAGTGAAACATTGCGCATGTTCAAATTTGATAGTGTGCAATATTTGAGGTAACCAGCCTTTGATGAGATATACATATCTTAACATTCAATATATGAATAGTACAATTTTTTTTAGTAGTTTTCTAGCAGTTTAATGAACACCTGTGTATACTTGTATTTCCAATAATTAGGTGATTCTAAAGATATTTTAAATATGACATTATTTAATATTAATTACGGTTATTTTCTTGGTTTAGAATGATAATACCATTTTTAGATACTATTAAATGTTAACAAACACAGCCGTGTTTTCGTCCAGGTTAATCTTTCTAAATTTAAATTCACTGTGACAAACGTTTTCATTGGCCAATTAACACTTCATCATCCAGTAAAGATTTATTATTTTACCCTCAGGTACATGCTCTAGTTCAAATCATTTAAAGCACTATGAAAAGAATTTTCTATATGCATCCAGAAATGATATCTTGATGTTATTGTTTTAAAACATTTCATTCACTCTGAGCTTTTAAGTGTTTCAGGAAAATAGTACACTAAGAAAAGTTTCCGGCAAGAAATGTTATCTAGAATAGTTGCTTATAGTTTTACTGCGAAGTGTTTCCAAAACAAAATCTTGCTTTTTATTGGGCCAGAATGTACCAGAATATCTGGTGTTTTAATATATCAGATCTAATCAGGGGCGTACATAAAGATTTTGTTTTGGGGGGGGGATAGCAAAAATACGACCGACTGATGCACATGTCTCTAATACGAGTGACGCAGATGATAGTTTTCTAGGGACCAGTAGGTGGGGTGGGTGGTTCCAAATCTAGGGCGCCATCCACAATCACACCCCACAATGAATATCGTTATCTCATGAGAAAGCAGTTTTATTCAAGTTGACATAAAGTATATGTCATATAATATGATGATTGTTATTGATTTTGTAATTAAATTTATGTGAACCTTAGGGGCACTGGCTATAACACTGAGCAACCTGAGAAAATTTCGAAAAATTGAACCAATATCCTAGCACTTGAGGTCATTGCTCGAAGCAAATTCTTGTGAACAAGAGAACCAGAAATAGGAGTCAATGGGACAGAATCTCGAAATCTGCCCCTGTCAATTCCGCCTGTTTTGCCAGAGTTGTCAGAACATTTGTACAGTCTGGCGCCCCATGCATCAGCGCGGTACTACTAATTGGGCAGTTCACTATAACCATGAATATGACAGAATATGACAGAATATGTATAAGACCACAGGAGCGGAAGATTGATGCCATAATTGAATCTGGCGGCGCAGACGCAAAAAAATTTCAGATATGTAACTGACCTTTTAATTTTTAGGGACTGGGCCTGAATAATTATAGTCAATGTCCTGACAAATGGGATCAAATTCTCCTGAACGAGAGGATAAGAAATGGGTATAATCTTGAGGCCCGTCCGTCAATTTCGCCTGTTTTGTGAGAGTAGAAATAACAATTCTGTAGTCTGTCGCCCCACTTACTAGTGGTACTACTAACTGGGCGATTCACTGTAACTGTGAATATTATAGTGATGAGATTGTATAAGACAGAGAAATTGAAAAATAATGACACAATAGAATTGAGCGCCGTAGACACGGAAAAATTTTAGATTGTGTAACTGAGCTTTTAATTTTTTGAGACTGGGTCTGAGGGGACTTTGTCTCACGGGGGCGCTTACTTGGTCTCTGAAATGCCATTTACTGGACTTTGGGATCTGGGGAAAGGTTTTGCAGAATTCTAATGGTCAGAAAATACTTACAACATGAGTAAAATACGTTTTAATTTCTACTGGGATTAAATATGCAATAAGTAAAAATTCTTAATTTCAATAGATCGCCTTAACATTTCATAATTTAAAGATTTTTTACATATTTCTGAAACAAACTACGCTTCCGATAACTTCTTACCAACTGTTCAACTAATGTTGTTCGTATGACAATCAATAATATAATTTAAGTTATCAAAATCTTCAACACAAGCTCTCTCAATTTCTTAGACCAACATACCCATAACAGGGAATTTTGTTTGTTTGAAAAGTTGACTAAGTTATTTTATACTATATCGTTGCAATTTAGGTGCACACATTCACACAAAATTTTTCCCTTCTATTTTGGCATTGTTTACCTCATTAATTCATTTAGTCTGAGACTGAATGCAGTGGGCATTTATTTTGAGACCAACTGCAGTGACTGCACTTATTTTGAGACCGCACTTATTTTGAGACCGACTATTTTTATCCCTGGGGGATTTTTTATACGTCCACATGAAAATGTGGACGTATTATGCCGTCGCCCCTGTCCGTCCGTCCGTCCGGCTGTCCGTCCGTCCACAATTGTTTGTGGACTCTCTACAGGTCACAATTCTTATCCGATTTTGACGAAACTTGAAATATAGGTTTATCTCCAAAAGATCTCGGCTGCTTTCGATATTGGCATGTATCCGATCGAAACTTCATGGATTATGGCCCCTGTTTGTACGAAAAATCACGTTTTTAGCTTGTGGACCCTATAGAGGTCACAATTTTTATCCGATTTTGTTGAAACTTGAAATGTAAGTTTATAACCCAAAGATCTCAGTTCCTTTCGATATTCGCGCATTTCGGACCATAACTTCCTGAATTATGGCCCCTGATTGTACGAAAAATCACGTTTTTAGCTTGTGGACCCTATAGAAGTCATAATTTTTATCTGATTTAAAAACCTGTATTATTATATCACCGTTACACCCTAAGGACGACTGAGTTCGAATTTCATGAAAATCGGCCCAAAATTGACAGACAAAATGGCCGCCGTTCGTTCTCAAATAGTGTAAAAATATGGTATATCAAGGTTGTGGACCCTAAAGAGGTCACAATTTTTATCCAATTTTGTTGAAACTTGAAATGTAAGTTTATTACCCAAAGATCTCGGTTCCTTTCGATATTCGCGCATATCAAGTTTATTACCCAAAGATCTCGGTTCCTTTCCATATTCGCGCATATCGTACAGTAACTTCCTGAATTATGGCCCCTGATTGTACGAAAAATCGCGTTTTTAGCTTGTGGACCCTATAGAGGTCATAATTTTTATCCGATTTAAAAAAACGTATTATTATATCACCGTTACACCCTAAGGACAGCTGAGGTCGAATTTCGTGACAATAGGCTCTAAATTGACAGACAAAATGGCCGCCGTTCGTTCTCAAATAGCGTAAAAATATGGTATATCAAGGTCGTGGACCTATAGATGTCACAATTTTTATCCGATTTTGTTGAAACTTGAAATGTAAGTTTATAACCCAAAGATCTCGGTTCCTTTCGATATTCGCAAATATCGGACCGTAACTTCCTGAATTATGGCCCTTGATTGTACGAAAAATCACGTTTTTAGCTTGTGGACCCTATAGAGGTCATAATTTTTATCCAATTTATCCTTCTATTTTGGCATTGTTTGTATTAATTCATTGAGCACTTATTTTGAGATTGACTGCACTTATTTCGCGACCAACTGTTTTTTTAATTAGACCAACTCACAACAGAATAAGGGTAAAAGACATTTTTTCAAACATGATAAGTTGACAAGGTTATTTTATATTAAGGTTTTGGGTGAGTAGCGTGACATGCAATTTAGGTGCACAGATTCACGCAAATTCTGGATTTTTCCTTCTATTTTGACATTTGTTTGCATTAATTCAGTGAGCAATTATTTTGAGATCGACTGCACTTATTATGCGACCGACTGCATTTATTTTGCGACCCACACACACCCACCCATATTTACGCCCCTGGATCTAATTGAATTCCAATTGTCAAGGGTTCTTTTATGTGTACATTTTTTGAGGGTTTATTTGAACGACTAGATGCTGTTCCGACACCACTGACAAGGGGAAATAACGCTGGAAAACCAGAGGAACTTTCTCAGCTAATATCTGTATCGAACCCAGATGTCCTAGTCAGTGAGCCAGTGTCTTAGTCACTGAGCTAAAAGGAATGATTAATGAGCTATAGTATCACATATTTACAATATCAGACATCAACAGTTACATTTCTTTCTTAATCTAATATTTGGTATTTGGTTTGTGAGAATGATGAAGGAAATATGTGTGGTTTAATGGTCGAGAGCGAGACATTAAGTAATATATTGTAACAACATGAGGGCCGTGAGGCCCGAATGTTTTTACAATATATTACGCAATGTCTTAAGCTCGAGACCATTAAACAACTTAAAATACAGACACTTGCACGTGCTTTGCAATGAAATACGTCACTCGAGTTCAATATTTTACCAAGTTACTCTTGGCACATTGCCCGTACGATTATTTGAAATAATGGTACTCCAACATCAAAGGATGACGTCACATCTGTATTTTAAATACAAATAAAGCTTATTATTTCTAGATGTATATGTTGACTTCTGTGTTGCAACAGATTTATTACACCACCCAAACTAATAGTTTCCAAAGTTTATCATTACTTTCTCTGCCGGAAATTACACAGGGTAGTAATGTCTTATCTAAAATTATCATTGCTCTGTGGAAAAACATTTCTTCCCCTATTTCCTAAATCAAAATGAAATTTAAATGAACAAATTCAAATACCAAAGTGGTTTTAGGTGCTACTTTGTTATTTTGTTCCATACCATCTCACATCACAATGAATATTGGCCTAGAACATCTGTTGGTTGTTGTTTCTAATCCTTCTAGACCTGTTACCTAGTCAGTTGAGTACTAAAAGTTTAAACTTGAGTAATCTTTCAACACATTTGTGTTCTGATAATCAAGACTTTTAGGTGATCTCAAAAGATATTGATCAATGTAGTTACAAGCCTACAAGTGGTGATGACTATTATGCACGAGGCTGGCTGGGTATGTGTTCTCTTTATGAAACACCTGGTTCAATGTATTGTATTCTTATTCTGTATGTTCTAGGTGTGTTGTTGCATTAAACAATTCAAATTTTAACTTGATCAAAGTAGATGGGCTTTTACAGGTTTTATTTAGTATTACCGGTACTTATAAAAGCTTATACAGCATATAAATGCTTCTAAAAGTCAGAATGTGAACAATTATTCTCCATCTTTTTGTCTGGATGTTGTTTGTTTAAGATTTTAAGTATATATGTTGGTGCATGAACTGGTATTCCTTTTATAATGATTGCAAGTTTATTTTATGTAGATTAAGTATAAATGTAGGATTTTTGTAAAGATTGTCTTGGTTGTAAATATATTATCACGCAATGATTATAGTATTAATATAAACCCAGATTAGGTATATGTTGGCTAGTAATTTCAACATTCAATGTCAGTAGCCTATTCTAGTTTCGTCCATGTGTGTAAGATTATTATTGTGGCCGTGAAAGACTGGCTGTTAATACAGAAATCCATGTGACATCAATAACTTGTTTTTTTTAGCTCCATGATTTCATCTTTATTGTGTTGTTTGTAAGTCAAATTTATTCTTGGGCAGATAATCTAATAAGGTACTGGTAATTACTTTTTCATGCCATTGTTTAACACTATGATATATTACACCCAAAAGTTTCACAGTTCCTTGCAGAACAAGGAGTGTTGTTCATAACCCCCAGATAATTGCAGTACATACTGACATGTTCTGCAATTATAATACTATTAATCCAGGTTTTTTGTTATGATACACAGATACATTGTGTATCACGATATTCTCTTCCACTTTACATACAAGATATCCTAAGAATACTTTCACGGTACAAATTTTAACTTATAAAGTCAGGCTTCGTCAAAGATAATCATAACAAATTTGATATTCTCATGTCTTTTCCAAGAAAAGTGTTATGTCTTACATGCTATTCCTCTCTAAAGCCTTCATAAGATAGGTTGAGCAAATAACAGGTGTCTTTTATTTTACCTACACTTTTTTTTATTTCCTTAAACAGAAAACATGTATCATGGTTGTTTCATAAGCATTTCTTTTGAGATAGTATCATATTGCGGGCGTTGTGTATTGTAGCTCCCCTAATCTTCTGAATTCATAATATATACATATAACTATCAACTTAAGAATAATTGTCGGTCAGACTTATTTATTTCTGTTGTTTGACTAGTAAAGGTCAATTTCCCATTTATAATGCATATTTATATAGATACATGCAGTTTCATTGCTTTTTGAAATGCATGTTTATAATTCATTTAGACAAAGAAAGGTTACCAATATCACTTTAAATGAATCCCTTTAGGCTTGGTGTTGTATTTGCATTTTTGTGTATTTAGAACATCAGAGAATAGGGTTTTTTTCTGCTTGAAGAAACATTTTGTCAGTGCTAAATTCTTATTGTATGCTCATACTCCATTAGTACTTAATTTGATGTATTTATATAAATAATGAACTGACAATTTTACTGCTTTGTCAAAGTCCTTCGCTGCTTCCCATACTGGCCATAGGGCATTATATAAAAAAACATGATCCCCATTGATTTGGGTGAGATTTGATTGGACTAAAACTTAATGTGATCATTTATTTGGCGGGATATATATTCCATGAGTAATGTTACATCATGTTGAGGTTTTCTTAAAATATACTTTTCAAAAAAAGTAGGGGATATTGAAATGCAAATACCTATGCAGGTTGTGATATGATAAATAGTCATGGACACTTGACATGCTTTGAGAGTATGTTCACAGATGAAGAACTTATCACCCAAACAGAACCACTGAGCTGCATATGTGACATGCAATAGCGCCATACACGTGGGAGGGGTTCATTGCCAAATTTGACACTGCAAGGAAGGGTTGATGATAACTGCGGCTTGCCGGTTTATCCTCTCCATGTTTGCTTTCCTATCGGTTCTTGCATAAGATTTACTGTTTAGCGTATCTTTGCTTTAGTGTATTACATTTAATTTGATCGGGAGACGTGTTCGTCGACGTCAACCGACAACACTGCAAGAATTGGCCGTGGCACTGCAAGAGGAGTGGGTCTGATTGCCCCAAATCGTGATTGGACGGTTGATTAGGAGCATGCCACGACGAATCGGTGAATGTCTGAGGATTGGTGGAGCAATTACTTATTATTAAGACAAAAATCAAAAACGTCCATTTTCACTTTTGACAGTGTATCTCTTTGCGAGTGAAATGGGACCGTCAGATTAGCTGCCCATATGAACTGTTTATGTTCATGTGTAGGCAATTGGCCTGTTATTAACATACACTGGTTACCTCTAATAAAAACAGCAGTGTATTTCCGCAGTTTTGTATTGTTTCTGAATATCCCCTAATTTTTTTCAAGAGTATAGGTGACATATTATGCAAACAATTAATAAAAGAGGAAAATGGATTGACTTCCTCTTACCCTGCAAATTAAAAACCAATTTCCTCTTCCAATGACTTGCCATCTTTCTCTTACTCTGCCATTAAATTGTCTTATCAACTTTGTCTTACTCTGCCATTAAATTTTCTTATCAACTTTCTCTTACTCTGCCATTAAATTGTCTTATCAACTTTCTCTTACTCTGCCAATGTCTTTATTTACATTCTTTTACTCTGATAAAGACTGATCAAGTCCGTCTTACTCTGCAGCAGGAATCTTGATCAATTGTTAGGATCATCAAAAGGCATGATAATAGATATGCTGCTTATTAGGTGATGCATATTAATAGTCATTATTAATTCAGTTATTGATGATAGGTTGACATGACTGCACCTATACCGACCTTCTGACTAGTTGTACAAGAGCTGTGCACATGCAGATGTCATTAAGACATAATGTTATAGTACACAAAACTGTCAAAGTCATTTGTGTGTAGTATCAGAAGTTGTGTAGCAATGACAACATAGTGGATTTTACAACTTCACTTATGGAAATACAGTGTATAAATTCTATTATAAGGTCCATAAAGAGCTTGTCCCATCACTAATTAACAGCAGGTGGTACTGGTTGTAGAATCAAGGCTGTTAAACTGATAAAAGGATACAGTAAAGTCACACATTATATCATAGAATTTAATCACACCAAATCACCAGAGATCTCTGTATCAAGTTGTTTATGTATACACAAAGAAAGTGATGTTATGTGAAACCACTGAGCATGTAATGTGTTTGTGTTGAGTATATAAAACGGTTGAGTAAGTAACAAATCAATGTAGCTATAAAGTGGATCTACTTAAGTAGAGTAAATAACGACAGGTGTTAAAGAACAGCTTATTGATTAAACATATCACCAATATTCTTTATCATCTTTATAATTCTAGACTTTGAAAAGCACTGACCTACAAAGAGTAAAGCATTTTAAATGAGTATCCCCTGGACTCCTTGTAAACCATTATTATAGGTTATCATGTGTGAAACTGGTAATGGATCTATATCTCAGTAATAGATGTGGTAACCTTAAATTTCCGTTAATCTGTATCTGGTGCATGAATTGATGTAATCTTATTAATTTCGATAAAAAAACATTAACAATGTGACCTACAAAGAATATAAATACTACAAATTTTATGGACTGCCCGTTGGCATATGTTTAGTTGTCTGGCAACCTATCTTTAATTCTTGTATGATAAATGGTATTTTACTCAAATGTTACTCAATATAAAAATACTTTTATTTTAAAAACATCCAAATTATATGTATAATAAAGAGATCTATCTGTATACTTAAAATAGAATTGTGTAAATCATTTTCAAATTCTGATTATATTTATGTTGGAGAGAGAAACAGGAGGAATATTACTACAACTGTTGATAATACTAACATCTTGTGTAATGATAAAATAATTTAGTTTTTAAGATAGTTTATGGCTGTATGAGATATGCATGTGTCAATAGATAGGTATATGACTGACAAGATGCGATGAACCGTGTCTAATGTATTGCTTACAAACTTATCTTTTTCACATATAAAGACTATTTTTATCAAGCTCTGTAATCCTGTGTGTTCATCTATGTTGTGCATATTGTAATCTGTTGATATATAAACTATGTTCTCAGATAGAAAGTACAAATAGAGGAGAAAAGAAGATACCTCATTTTACTCTGTCATATTTCTGTATCTTGGATGAAAAAATAGATTGTTTAATATCTAATAGAAAAGGCACAGGCACCATACCCTACATAATTTAAATTAATAAAATAATGGTGCACAAATTACCAGAATAAAAGCCTAAGTCCAAATGGGTGCATGCTCTTATAACTGTGAAATTACAGCAAATTACAGATGTACCAAGTGAAAATAGTTACTACACCTATACTCAGTCTCATACATGACACAGACCAAAACTGGCCAGGTTATAACACAGTATATTTAGATGGACGGAAATATTCAAGAATTGCATTTATTAAGGGCATTACATGTTAACTATTTACTCCAGTTAATATTGTTATTAGATAACCTGTTTATTAACACTACATTTATTTTGGAAGAATATGTTTTTGTGGTGACTGACGCAAGTAATTCATCAATGAAGCATTGTCAAAGCTGGGTTTTGAACCAACTGTTTTCTTCCATTTTCATTGAAAACAACATTTTCATAATAGATGACAAATAATTTCTTCCAATAGTTTGGAATTTCAACAAACTCCATCCAGAAGTCACAAAATTTGTATAAGCATAATGACAAAAATAGAAGATTTGCCCTATTCATCCCAAAAAAAGGAAAGAATATATTTGAAATCCAAGAGCCAGATTTTTTAAAACTAACCTGAAGAAATTATTACTTTTATTAAAATTGTAAAATATAATTTGCATATAATTGTAAGCCAACAGTTTCTCTAACTCTATGTAATATTTTTTATTTGGTTTTCATGACATAATTTATATCGAAGTCACACATTTCATGACATTTGGATTGAATATTGTTTTTTCACCATGAATAATATTTAGATAAGAATAAGCCTTTTTTTTAAAGTCACAGATTCTTGATTTAGACATGTGTATTTATCGCAGATTTCATTTATGTTTAATCTTTTGAAAATAATTCAAATTCCTTATAATTTATAAGATATTTTAATATTAATAAATTGGAAGTTGGTTATGTTATGAATATATATAACATCATGATAATTAAGATTTTGAAAAATAGTTCTACATTAACCCTGCATAGTTGCAGTAATAGTTTCACATATACCACATCAATGATTAAATTTAATCCAGGCATGTTTCCAAATAATGGAAGAGAAACGTGTAAAGATCCAGGCTAATTCACTCAAAATATATCATTACTAATTCTTTGAATACCTGCAGGGCTGTTGACAGCTGGACTAGAATGTGGTGGTGGTGGTGTGGGGGGTGGGGCAGATTTTTTAAATTGGATATTGCACTGCAATCCTTAGAGCAGGTCTAGGACAGAGCCTTTTTGAAGGTTTTGAGGGGTTGTTTTAATGTTACAGGTGCTTATTTTTGGTCCTTGTTAAATATAATGAGATGTAAAGAAAATGCACCACTTTTATATACAATTCTAAATATAACTAGAACTGCGATGCAGTAATGACGGGTTTTACCGGTGCCCCGTTACACTTGAACGTATGTCACTTCCGGTACCGATGAAACCATTAAACAGGTTTCCATTTAAGCATTGCACACATCACATAAAATGTACGCAGAATCAACCAAATCCGGAAATATCAATTCATTGTATACATTCATTACATGTAAGTGATCCTGACAACATTACATTACTTCCGGTGATAATGAAAATGTTAAATTAGCTTCATGAAATCAGAAATAGCATAAGGCATCACATGGTGAAAATTTTATGTAAATCGAATATTATTTGCCACTTTTATAGACCAAAATCCTTGAAAAGTGACTTGTAGAAAATCGTCTATTTCTCTGCAACCGTACTAGTTAGAACCCATTTTTTGGTATTTGTATGATCGTGTGGGTTCAATCTATTTGCTGATTGGAATCAAATATCATAATTTTAAAAACAATACAAATCAGACTCATTTGAATAAAATATCTGTTTTGAAGGCTAAAAATACAGTTTTTGCCACAATGACATTACTTCCGGTAACAGTAAAAGTGTTAAATTACTTGTATGAAATCGTCAATGGCATTAGGTATCACACACGGGGAATTTTATGAAAATCGAATAATAATTGACACTTTTATGGACCAAAAACCTTGAAAAGTTACCTGTTGAAAATCGTCTATTTCTCCGCAACCGAACAAGTTAGAAACCATTTTGTGATATCTATATGATCGTATGGGTTCATTCTATAAGTTGATTGGAATCAAATATCAAAATTGTAAACAAATAAGACACATTTGAATAAATTACTGGTTTTGAAGGTTATAAATACAATTTTTGCCCAAATTACGTCATTTCCGGTGACATTGAAAATGTTAAATTGGTTTGACCTTGTTAAAATTGACATAACGCATCAAATGGTGTCACTTTTATGAAAATCGAATAATAATTGACTCTTATACAGGCAAACTAGCGTAAAAAGTGACTCATACAAAATTGCCCATTTCTCGGCAACTGTTCATATTACAAATTAATTTTCACATACATTCTCTTCGTTTGGATTATTGCTACTAGTTTATGAAAGTTGCGAAGAAATATTTTAAAATATGAAAAGCCTGAATGGGTTGTGAATAGCTCATTTTTTCACCTTTTTTCGCCTTTAAATCGAAATGATCCGAAAACGAAATAAAAATTAAAAAAACTGAGCACGATGATTTCTGCACATTAACAGGGCAAACCCTTTCAGTCATACCAGATTTGAAAAGAATAATATTTGCTTTCAAAAAGTGGTACTGAACTCTCAAAATTGCAGTTTTTGCTAAATTTATGTTACTTCCGTTGCCGAAAGGAAAATGTACCGGTAACAAAAAAAATGGCATTTTGGACCTCGGAACATATGAACTTTGTTTTATACAAATCGAACAATAAATAATTAATCCAGGACTGAAAAACTGAATTAGCCAATGGGGGCCAAGGAAAAATATGGTGACAAAAAATGTTGACATTTTTTGTCAAATCAGATGACCCTTTAACCACATAAAAATATTCATTAATAAAAAAGTTTTTCGTAAAAATTTAAATTTTCAAAATTTGGCGCCTAATATCTCCGAAGATTCGTCGAAAATAAAAAAATCCAAAGAACCTTAGCTATGTGCCTTGTCTCTGGCTATCTCAAAATGTATCAAATATTACAATCCGACAATTATTGATAACATTACGGCAAAATATCGAAAAACGACAACTTCGGTGATTTCGGACATTTCGCATTGTCGCAGAACGTTGGAAATAGCTTTAAAATTTAAGTCAAACCCACTTTCCCAGTAAAACCGAAGACATCGAATCGATCCGACTAGTAGTTTCTGAGATATGCTCAAATGGAAAAATAATAATAATAATAATAATAAGAATAATAATCCGAACAAAAACAATAGTGTTTCACACTGGCTACGCAGTGTGAAACCCTAATAACTCTGCTCTGCCAGACTGTGGTAGACTCTCACATCTTAAAATGAGTCTGAGCATGTGATGTCGACATCGCTCAATAAGGCTATCTTGCAATATCAAGGCAGGAGAAAGGTTGGGAAATGATCGCTAAATTCCCAGTCTGCATTATATACTAAGATACAATGAAAACGTACTTTTGATTTGACTGGTGTGACATAATTCAGCTGAAATATTATTTTTGGCATCTGCATTGAGATATGTGTTACTAAAAATCATAATGACTAACAACAGTATTACACAAATTAGTTGTCAGATAGTTTCTGATGTATGGAATAAAAGGTCATGTTTGGTTCATTTCGTGAGGAAAAATATCAAAAATTAATCACCTCTGCCATGACTATTGTCATCTACATGTAAGTGGAATTTCAATTATTAGTTAATTTGTTTCAGACCAAACCTATGTTGATCATGCTGGAACTACACTTTATGCCAAAAGTCAGCTTGAGGCCTATCACAATGATTTGATGAGGCATGTCTATGGTAATCCTCACAGTGGAAACACCAGTAGTCAGCTTACTACAGATACAATAGAACAAATTAGATACAGGTATACACATTTCTTACTTACATTCAAATAACATTCGAAAATACCTAAATATATATAGATAGGATAAATTTCTCTTCAAAATATATTGAAAATTGTTTGTAAAATCAATTGCTGCCACCCCAGTCTGCTTGTCTGTCGCTCACTTTCCTCATTAGCATTGCAGTTGTCTATTTCATAGAAAGGAGGTATATTATATTCCTCTGTTTTAAAAGCTTGTTTGCAGTCTAGATAGCCTACCACAATTTTCAAACTTTATATGAATTGTCTTATCATCTTGAAAAGAAGAAACCTATTACTTTTCAATGAATTTCAATGATTACCTGTGTTTAACAATTACTTTCCCTTGATACTGCAATTATCATCCATTTATGTTTAAATGTCTGTGGTTTGTCTGGCTCAAAGAGAAGAAGAGGCCAGATTGAGTTTCGTTGACTTTCAATAATAGACTCCAGGGTTATTATCCTTTTAAGGAAAATTTCTGGCAACTATTTTATTATTGAGATTTGGACCATCAATATTAAGCATTTTGTCGACTACTGTTATCATTAGTGTCAATTTTACCTCAACTGTAAGAACACTATCAGACAGATAACGATCAATTAGATTACAGAAACATATGGCTGTATGCATCAATTTGTTTATCAGATTTTACATGTATATAAACCCTATATAACTAGAGGTGGGGTGGACATCCAGGTATGGTTATTTGTATGTGAGATGAGAGTTAAACTAATTAAATCTATTGTTACAGGGTACTCCAGTTTTTTAATACAACTTCTAAAGAATACACTGTTATATTCACCTCCGGCTGTACACAGGCTTTGAAATTAGTAGCTGAAACGTTTGATTTCAGTGGCATACAAACAAAAAAGGAAGATGGTGACAAAATTCTCACAAGGAATAGGGGAGATAACTACAGTTTTTGTGACTCAGATTCAACAGTGAAGAAAGATGAAAACTGTAAAAATGTTGGATATTTTTATTATTTGTGTGATAATCACACATCTGCTCAAGGAATGAGAGAACTCATTGTTAAACAAACAGAAAATGTATTTCCATTTAATGTTTCTGACGTCTTTAAAACTTGTATCTCCCACCCTGTTAATCCAAGTATAAATGGAAACAATCTGTTTGTATACCCTGCTCAATCAAATTACTCTGGTCAGAAATTCCCACTGGAATGGATAAAAAAAATTCAAAATAGTCAGTTGAAATGTCAACAGAATACAGGAGGACATTGGTATGTGCTGTTGGATGCAGCCGCCTATGCAAGCACATCACACTTAGATCTTACGCATTACAAGCCAGATTTTGTTACTGTTTCATTCTACAAAATATTTGGACATCCCACAGGATTAGGTAAGAAGTATATTTGATTTAGATGATGTTTATATAAGGTAATAAAATGTGTTTTCAGCATGTTAATAAAATCTAGTAGATTTCTCACAGATACTACTATTAGTAAACTTATTACAAGGGTACTCAAAATCTCCAAATAGACCCTAATTAATTTTAGATATATTAATGAAAAAAAGCAACTTTTAAAACAATGCTGCATGACAGAAGACCAATAATGTTTTTTTGTTTCATTATTTAAATTAAACACAAATGAGAGTTGACTGATGCTACTACCATAATATTCTTAAAAATCCCAGAACAAAGAAATTAAGATAAATCTCAACCAAATAATGTGTTAGTTACTTGTATTACTATGTCTTAACTCACACATAGCTTGCAATTTTGAAGCATTGATCTAGAAAGGCTGTGCAAAACTAAAAAAAAACTGTGGTCAGAGTTGTTGTGTTTTCTCTGTCAGAGTAGAACAAAAATATAAGTTCAAACTGTAGTGTAAAATCAACTGTAGTGTAAAATCATTTATACAAATTAGTTATATATTTACATATTTTCTATTGTGAGAAATGATTGGAAATCGAAACACATAAATTTGTGGATTTTATTGCAAATTTTCTTTTTTCTGGATTTGTAAACTAGACTATTGTTGATAAAGGTTAGATAATCAAATGGTTAAAGATGCATGAAGATGGCTGTGTGAAATCAATAGATATCAGTATAAACTTCCAATGGCCATAATTTATGTTCGAATCATAACTTAATTTGGCTGTAAAATCACCCCTCCTGAATTTTCTTGTCAGTCAAGTAACATACCTTAAAATAACTATTTAATTTGAGGGAATGAAGCTGTAAAACATAATATATACACCTACCGTATATTTATAGCTTTTCTGTATAAAACATTAAGAAATAGTTATATAAATTAAAATAATTCTACAAATAACAATACACAATTCTTACGAAAAACAATCACTTGAAAATGATAAAAGGATACTAGTTTAACCATGTTGCTTATATGATAAACCAATAATTGTTTCCCATTAAAATTATTTTCTGTTAATGTGTTTCTCAATTACTAAATGCCAATCAAAGATTATCCTAAAAATAATCATATTCTTTGAAAATAAATTCCTGGCTAATTAGAGAAAAATTTGATATGTGATTAATTTATTTTTATATGTTCACATAGAAATGTGGACGTATATTGCCGTCGCCCCCGTACGGCCTTTTGTCTGTCAGTTGGTCCGTCCGTCCGTCCATCGTCCACAATTTCTTGTGAACGCTCTAACGCCAAAAGTTATCATCCAATTGTTTTAAAATTGATATATGTTGTTTACATTAGTGAGATGAAGAAGCCTATTTAATTTCATCTAGAATTATGGTCCTTGTTTCACTTTATTGAAGAAGCCTATTTAATTTCAATAATTTCCGTTTATTACGTCTAGAATTATGGTCCTTGTTTCACTTTATTGAACCTTCTGAACGCTCTAATGCCAAAAGTTAACATCAGATCTTTGTGAAATTTATATGCAATATTTAAGTTAGGGAAACAAAGAATCCTATTGAATTTCAGCAATTTCCATTTATTACTTCTAGAGTTACGTCCCTTGTTTCACTTTGTTTAACCTTGTGAACGTTCGAATGCAAAAGTTATCATCCGATTTGTATGAAATTTATATCAAATTTCAAAATTTTCTGTAAATTACTTCCAGAGTTAAGAAGCTTGTTTCAGTTTGTAGAACCTTGTGAACCCTCAAATGACAAAAATTATAATCTGATCTATATGAAATTGTATTTTAAATGCCCCCAATTACCGACAAAAGAATAGATATGGAACAACCCTTGTCGACCCTTAGCTGCTGTGGGCATATGTTTCGTTGCCTGGCAACCTATCTTTTGTCATAAATTTAAAGTGAGAGCTGTCTCTATATAGATTTGAATGATTTTTGGTAATAGTACATTGGATTGTAGTTGGCCTTTAAAAATCTATATTTAAACTTTAGACTGACTTGCTGTACCTTTAAGTTTATTGCTCTACAGTTTGTCCGAAGAGTTTATGACTGTCTCTTCCTAGCCTGTATGGTGACTCAGTGTTTAAAGCTCTGACTCACTAACCAGGGTGTACTGGGTTTGATTCTGGTGTTGGCCGAAAAAGTTCCTCATGGTTTCTCATTGTCAGTCGTGCAAGACAAAATGCCTGGTAATAAACAGTGTCTGTCGTTTGGATGGTATGTAAAAACCATGCACATACTTATAAGAACCTATGACAGTTGGAATTCAATGAAAAGTTGGCGGAAACGCCACAGTCTAGAAATAATTTTCCTCATAGTACGCTGTATGGCATAAGCTCTTGTTTATTAGCTCGGTTGGTGCGGAAAAGTAATATGTTAAACTTAATTTTATTTCTTCTGTAGTGCTTGAACACATGCACATTGTATCATAAGGTCTGTCAATGAGTTAAGTTGCGTGGTTTCAATTCCCCGCTTGTATGTGACAAGGAATAGGGTTGCCTGTCCAACCTCATTGGTTTTCTCCGGTTTCCTCCCACAGCTAAAGACCCCTATTGAAGTTAAATTGAAGCATACATTAGTCCCGAAATGACCTAGTTTGTGTCGAGTGGACGTTCAACCTCATTTGTCTCTCACCAATACCAAATACCATGCATTATTTGTATATCTTTTTAATATAATAATTTGTTATATTTAAATCATTAATTAAAGGTGCTCTGTTAGTAAAGAATGATAGCTGTCATGTATTAAAGAAAGAGTATTTTGGTGGAGGAACAGTATCTGTTAGTTCAGCACAAGAAAACTTCCACATATTCCGTGATAATATTTCTGAAAGGTATCTTTGACGTTGCTAGAATCAAAATTGATAATGAACAAATAATTTAAAAGGCATTTAAGTTTAATCAACAAATAATTAAAGAGCCTTTATCCCTTTGACCAAGAAATTAAATTTTGTATAATTTCATAGTAAACTTAAAACTCCTCACTGAATTATCAACAATCCAAGCACTGCTCTGCATAAAATAAGTTATATTTATAGCACGGCTTTCATGAGTTAACAGGTTTAACCACAGGCCGAAGACCGAGGTGTTAAACCTTTTAACGAATGAAGCGCGCTATAAATGACTTGTAACATTGACAACTGCTCAACATGCTTAGTGTTATTGCACAGAAAACCCACCCCACTTCTCTATATGATTCCTACTAAAACTAGTGTAAACCGGCAAAAGTGTGCAATAACATTGAACATGTCTAGTTATTGCACGGTTAAGCTCCACCCATCTACTAGAGGGAAAACAATTTGCTTATTCAACGAAAAGAACAAAGGAAGATTTCCCGTCCATGTTACAATGTATTTTGCAGGATTGCTTGGTTAAATCCTTGAAATCACTAAAATGATATTTGAAATTGAACTGTTGTATCTCCTCAATCAATTGACCAATCAGTTTCAAATTTTTTATGTTATCTATTTTGCCCAATTGAATATTAAAAAAATAAAGTTGAATTGAAAAGAAAAAAATGTTTTTACTGGCTAATGCCTTTTAATATGCCAACATAGAAATGTAGTTGTGATTAGTTCTTGTATAACTGATCTGCTTGAAATTTATATGCATTATTAAAATTAATAATTTTAAGTTAATTACTTCTACACTTATCACCTTTTTTCCTTTTAATAAATCTTGTGAACACTCTTAACGGGAAATTCTTGTTTTATACTTAATTGAGAAAAATGATGTGAAATACGATTTTATTTGTCGATAATGGAAACACTGTCGTTCATTATATTGATTTTTAAATGGCTACATGTATTGTGTGTTGTAAATCTCATTTACAGTTATTGATTTGAAGATAAATTGTTGTTGTACTATTTATGAATATATACAAGCAGCTTCTGAGAATAAAATATTGTTTATATAACAAAATATATGATTAACATGTGACACATGTGATAAATTGTATCTTTACAGATTTGAAGATGGAACACTTTCTTTTTTAGATATTATAGCTTTACGCTATGGTATAGTGACAGTATATAAACTGACAGGTAGTAAATATTTAACAACTCATTTAACTGTACATGATAAATACATTCATTCACTTTATTGTGTAATAAAGTAAAGAGAGGCTTGATGGAAATGTAAAATAACAAATCATATTTACATTAAAAAGTTCTCCAATCTGGCTTGTCTTCCAATGCTTCTAACCAAGATTTTTTCGAGAAGTGTTCTCTTGTCGCTTTCAAGCACTGATCATTTGTGTTTTTAATGTGGTCAATTACTGAATTGTTACAGCTGTGTGAACTTTTTGTTTACTTGTTCACGTAGCTATCAGTTATTGTTTTATATCATTAATATTATTCTCTTTGAAATTGGGAGAAGCCACAAAATTTTGACTATTTAATCTTTTTAAAGGTGGAATGGAGAAAATATCCCAACACACCTTCTGTATAGCTCAGTTTTTTTATCAAAATTTACAACAGCTTCATCACAGCAATGGGAGGTCATTAGCAGAAATTTACACAGTGGGAGACTTCAAGGAGAGGAACAGACAGGGTGCCATTATAAACTTCAATTTAATCAGATATAATGGAGACTATATTGGCTTTGCTGAGGTAAATTTAAAGAGCACATCAAATAGCTGTATGAAAGTTATATGTACTTGAATCCAGTGTTTATTAACAACACTTTAGCCAATGCACACCATTCTGATTAAAATTATTCGATATATGACAGTTTATGTGTCAGACCCTCTAAAATACTTCTCAATTTTTACAATCACAGCCATAATCTAGTTGATTGGCGTGTGACGTCACCGAATACACAAGCTGATGTGGATTGACCGCGCGCTTCAATTAGCATGCTGGCATACTAATCATTATCTATTCAAGTATTGTTATAGATTATAACTTGTGACTGAATTACATTATCTTTAAAAATTGTGTGACCGAGAATTATGTTAGTCTTACAAAAGCGAATACTGCTCCTTTTTTCATAAATTTACCAAGTACCGGTACGAAGTATTACAAATCCTGATTTGTCAACTTAAGGTGACAACAGTGATTTGCAATAAACATTTGTTATGATCTATGCATAACTTTATTGAATGTTTCAGAATACTCATACAGAAAACAAATTCACAGGTTCCATTCCCGCAATTCAATCGTTACTGTTCCATTATCGACATCATATCAGTTACTGTTTAAAACTTAGTTAGCAGTTAGTCAACAAATAACACAAACATTCATTCCTTTTTCATTATGAACATCTTTCAAAGATGAAATTATAATATTGTATCCTTTTTGCAACGTTAAACCTTATTGTCCCCCACCTTTCGAAGAAAGCAGGGGACTATTAAAATGTTCGCCTGCCTGCCTGCCTGCCTAATTGAGCTAGAATGTTCAAACTTGGTGTAGGTGTTTATTAGGTCAATACCAATTACGAAAAGAGTGCATTGTGTGTGATAAATACGGATAAAAATATATGATGGGGCTATAGCAACCATTTGTCTAAACATATCTTGTCTAAATTGAAAAAACTACTATTACAGGATCCCTCTAAATATTCTTCCTCCATTTTCTAAATGACCAATAACATAAATAATACAAATGCTGATGAACTAAATTGAAATGATTATTACTTGAAACCCATTTGTTTAGTAAAAGCAGACATGATTATATATTTATATTGACGTCATTGGTGTTCATATATTGGCGTCGTCAATAACTATTTCATACACATTTTGTTTTAATCGGAAGCCTGTTAAGGCTTACTCCAATATTTTCTTATCAAATTGATAGGGGAATATGGCTACAACGACTGTCTTGGTCATGGCATTGATAAAGCAAATGCTAAAGTTAAATCATTCTTTTATTTCATATATAAAAAAATTATTCTGTTGTTAATTGTTTTATTTTATTAGTGGATTAAGAAATCAGTCAGGTGTTAATAAGTAAACATCCCGACTGTGTATAGGGTAATTAAAGAATTAACATTTCTAATATGCATTTGGTCACTGTGACATCGCTGCTTGCAGGGATTAAGAGTGTTTTCGATAATTAGTAAAGTCATTTTTACAGGAAGTCTATATATGCAACATTGAGTGAAGATGGCTCAATTAATTATCCCGCGCCGAACGAAGTTAGGGAGGGATATTGAAACGGGGTCCGTCCGTCCGTCCGGTCTGATTTCGTTTCCGGAGCATATCTCATAAACCGTTCAAGATATCTTTCTGAAACTTTGCACACATATCAACCTATTACAGTAGTTGTGCCTTTTGCTATTTAGGAATTTCTGGGATTTATATTTTTTTGTGTTTCCATGGAAACAAATTTGACTTAGTTTTTGGTGTATAATTTTGTTTCCGGAGCATATCTCATAAACCGTTCAAGATATCTTTTTGAAACTTTGTACAGACATCTACCCATTACAGTAGTTGTGCCTTTTGCTATTTAGGAATTTATGGGATTGATATTTTGTGTGTTTCCATGGAAACAAATTTGACTTAGTTTTTGGTGTATAATTTTGTTTCCAGAGCATATCTCATAAACCGTTCAAGATATCTTTTTGAAACTTTGCACACACATCAACCTATTACAGTAGTTGTGCCTTTTGCTATTTAGGAATTTTTGGGATTTATATTTTTTGTGTTTCCATGGAAACAAAAATGACTTAGTTTTTGGTGTACAATTTTGTTTCCGAAGCATATCTTATAAACTGTTCAAGATATCTTTCTGAAACTTTGCACACACATCAACCTATTACAGTAGTTGTGCCTTTTGCTATTTAGGAATTTCTGGAAACACATAAAATTATCAAATCTGAGAAATTCAAAATAAGAGGATGAAGAACTTACATTGTGTGCACCTGTAATACCAATTATTTCAGTTGTAGTATATGATTCACTCATTATTTACTTTACGAAAGTCTAACATGATCAACATATTGTATTTTGTTAAGTTCACTTTTTTGTATAATTGTTACTTGAATATCTATATTTTGCCGCTTCATTGTTATGCTTTCATAAACCATTTTCTCATCAGTTTCTGGACATTCCTAAAGGAATAAAACTCATTTAAATACACATTCAACTATTCATCATTAATTTTAAAAACCTTGCTTGTATACATGTACATTTATTACTGTTACAGAGAGGAAGAAACGTGAATAAATGCGAGGATTGTACTAAATCATTTACATGCCAGCGTAATTGTCTGCAGTACAATCGTAATGATACATTGCATAAATTATAGGATATATGATTCTTGTTCTAGGTTATTTGGGTATTTGCAAATGTACTATTCTTTCATTGCTTGGCTCAAAACTTTGTAACAATACAAACAGCTACATGTATACATTACCAATAGCATAAAGAAGTTATTTTTCCTTATTTCTTCCAAACAAGTGCAAGGGCGCGGGATGTTGATGACTAGTCATCTTGTTTTAATCAAATTGGTGTGAACCTGCCGTAAAGGAAACACTGTGTATAACTACATAAAACTTTGTTATCGCCATTTTATGTGCTCTTTAAAATCTTGGTGCATCTGACAGTTGTATACAGCAAACTCATCTATCTTGCAGTGATAGATGCAGGGTACATGTCAGATTATTTTGGAAGCAGTCAAAGAAATGTTTAAAAAGCCTTACAAACTAACTCATATGGTGAAACACAAAGTGGTATGGTGTTGTAGAATTATAGCAAACAACCTTGAGATCTCATCACAGTATTTCAGTCCTTTAAATCAACTTTAGTTAGCTATTGTGATAATACCAAAATATTGTGTTAATTTGTTATTATTGTAATATCTTCATGTTTTACAAATATTTTCCCATATAAATAAGTTTCATGCAATTTAGATCTGTATTTTATATACTTTAGGTAGATAAGATGGCTCAACTACATAATATTCATCTAAGAACTGGTTGTTTCTGTAATATTGGTGCATGTCAGAAATATTTAAACATATCTACTGAACAGTTAAAATCTAATTTCCAGGTATATCTTGTAATCATTAACTTGTTGGAATGTAAGTACTGGTAGTACGTAACTGGTCACCCAGTTTAACTGTCTCTACTTTTCATGTTTAGCAACTAAAGACTGATGAAAGGATAGATACTTTGGTGTATTAATGACAAATTTACATGACTCACATATTTGTTAAAGGAAAAGACATTTCTCACAAAGGAAGACAGGGACCATTGAAAAAGATTATCTAAATCTATTTATTAGTGCCAAATGGTAGCCTACCATGATTTGGAGCAAAATAATCTAAAAGCACTCCATTTATTGTATAATTTTTTTGTGATTTTAGGATTACTTTGAATCAAATTGTGTTGCCACTTGAGTCAATGAAAGACCTTATGAACTAAAGTGCCCCCCACCCCCTTTTGTATTGTCATTGAATATTTTTTTTTTTTTTTTTTGTAGGAAGGACATGTTTGTGGTGATGATAAAGATCTAATTAATGGTAAACCAACAGGTTCTGTTAGAATATCATTTGGTTATATGTCTACATTAACAGATGCTGTTAAATGTTTACAGTTTATTATAGAGTGTTTTCTACAGGGTTCTAATCCATCACCACTAATTATTCAACAAGCAGAAGATATTGTTAAAAAAAGTCTGGTTGAAAAGACAACCATGGTTCATTCTAAACAACATCCAAATGAGTTGGGTTACAAAGATGTGATTGTTGGTACAACTGTTGTAACAGAATCTAAACCTACTGCTGATGTTGTAAAAAAGTGTGGTGAAAATAAAAGATTATTAACCAATATATTCATTTATCCCATCAAATCATGTGCAGCTTTTGAGGTAATTTCAGAAGTATATGAGACCAATTTTTTTTCTAAAATATAGTGTACCAGTTAGGCTTGTTATTTATGGGTTTTGTTTCATGTTGCGTGTGCATGGCAGGTGGGGAATGTGGAGGAACTGGAAAAACTCTTTTTATTTGAAATACTTTCCATAATTTGTTCTTCTATTTATTTACCATATTTCAAGAAACCAGGGAATGTTACCCCACAAATAATTAGTATAATAAAATGATACATATAGATAAGTTGTGATAATAATAATGATAATATGTATATCTATAATGCGCTATACTCCATCCATAAAATGCATGCTCATCAATGATACGCCGTATTGTCACAAGTCAAAAGCTGTTAATTCTTAGAAGATAAAAACATTTTCAGCTAAAACAAATGAGTTTGCAACTTTGCTCTGGCTACTTTCTGCAATAACAATAGCTAATTATAGCCAAAGTATGTACTGGTATGTCACACAAGTTTGGAGAATCTTTACATTTATATCAAAATATTTTTGAATTTTTGATGCATGTTGTTTTTCAGGTTAAAGACTGGGTGATAGGTAATAAAGGATTATTATATGATAGAGAGTGGATGATAGTTAGTGATAGTGGAGTAACAATCAGTCAAAAACGGGAACAAAGACTATGTTTATTGAAGCCATTCATAGATCTCCAAGAACAAAAACTTTATCTCAATTTTCCAGGTACATCTTTTATTTGTTTCATACTCGGCCAGTGCATTTATTAATAAATAATTGGCTACTCATGAATACTGATTAATCAAGTCTTTAATTAGTTGATGAATCTTTTAGTACTAGTTAATCTTTTAAGTTTTTACCCAAAGCATTACATGATATTCTAACAAAGGGAATGAAAGGGTCCTACTAATCATGACAATAGCACAAAAGTGATCGACCAGGAAAATATGTTTTAGATGTGTATATTCTACACATCATATCCAAACTTAAAATGATTTCATACAAATTTGGCAAAATTATGGATAAGTCAAATTGACAAAAAATGCTCTTACTAATCACAGACAGGAGCATTTTTTGTCAATTATACTTTTATTGAGAGGTGCTGTTATTGAGAGATGGAAAATAGCATATTTAAAGATACATTATGGGAGATTTTAATAGAGAGTTGGCTATTCTTGCTATAACAGTTCAAAAATAGATGATGAAAGAAGAATATATTGAAAATTTCAGTCAAATTACTTTATTCTGAACAAAGTTATCACTATTGTAATTTTTGACTAGAAATAGAAGTCAACTCTCTCTTCACCGTCTCCGAGACTGGCCGATCGTTTGATTGACAGGCGTTAACTCCACCTACATAATCTCGATTATCAAGTAACATTTTCAATGGCTGTGGTACTGTTAGTCATTCGGTTTGAGACGGGGTTGCAATTCAATTCGTATCACATTTATTTTTACTACAAATTAAAAATAAGACTTTTAATATATAGATAAGAAGCAAAAGTTTGCAAGGAATGGACCAAATAAATGAGGCATAATTATAGCCAACTTCTTGTTAGCCTGTACTGTAACTGGTAGGCCTACGTAACTCCCGAAAAAGACAAATAGGAAACAGTGATCCAATGGGGCTGCAATTCAACTGGGGTGATGTGATGTTTATCAATTTCAATAATTTTTCTGTAAACGCAAGTGACAAAATAGCATATAATACCGACATCCAAACTCTCATTTAAACCACAACTAAACATGCGGCCTCGCTAAACAGCGGCCTCGCTTCGTACACTCTATCATTTAGCCTCGACCTAAAATTTCCGGGAGTATGACGTCAACGTAACGGTTAATCTCCGCTTACGACGCCATTTAAAAATTTAATCAGTCAATGAAATCCTGTTTAAATCCAAGCCATCTGTGGGTCTACAGAGTTGATTTTGTGCTTGTTGTGTAAATAAAGATCTAATTTATAATTTCTATGACATCTGAAGCCTAAATAAAGACTTGCAATAATCAGATTTAGGCATAATGTATGTTTAAGTAAACGTCTCACTTGTAACACAAAGTACAAGGCATTCACATCCTAAAACTTGTTTAAGGTATGCCACAATTTAAACATTTTTGTTGAAGGGAGAGACGACCTTCCTGGAACCCTATGACCCAGTGCTTCACATTACTTAAAAAATGTCCCGTACTTGGCAGCTTTCAGAAATCGTAGAGTGAGACAAGTATAATAATTCTCTAAATCTTATTCACATTCACTAACAAAAGTTGGCAAGAATCCATCATAAAAGTGTCCCTTTGTGCTTTCATAGGAACAGTTGAATTGAATACTGTTTAATTTTATGAAAATTATTTGAAAAAATGAACTTGGAAAAAAGTCCACCGTTATAGGAAAGATTAACCCAAATAAATTGGAAGGATTATCATGCAAGAAGCATAATTTATGCTGTACTTTCCTTACAGTGAACAAATTTTACTTTCAATTGTTTCTTAATGAATCAATATAGTGAAAAATGTGGTGTTTTTCAGGCATGCCACAATTTATTTTATCATTGGAAAGTTCTGATCAGACCTACACTGGACAGATTTGTACCAACAAAGTTTGTGGTGACAAGTAATAATTACACTTCTTTTTTATTAAAATGATATTGAGTATACCAATCAGTATTCCCTATTACTTTTAAGTATTGTACATCCTTATTGTCTAATCAACATAATATCTCAGCCATCCGTTTATGTAGACTTGATTATGTGCTTGTCATGTGAATAAATGTCTAAATAATAATTTATCTAACATTTGAGGCCAGAAAAAACTAGATCAAAGGCTAATAATGAAGTTAGGTCATAACTGGTGCTACATGTGCTTGAAGATTACAAGAAACGACCTATAATTTCAATGTATATTGTATATTATATTGGTATATAAATATATTTTTTAATATTTATAGAGTTGAAACATTTGATTGTGGTGAAGAGGTGTCAGATTGGGTTAGTCTTGCTTTAGGTAGATCAGGGTGTCGTCTGCTAAGACACAAGATAGAAGACAGCAGAAAATGCAAATTAAAAGATACTGTATCTGGTAAGAGACAAACTATAGATCAATAAATGGAATGGTAGATATAAATTTATAAAACATGCTGTATACTATTTAATTATTTTGAGAACAGGATTTAAATTTATTGTTTTTATGGGGATTTGGGGATTTTTCTAGACCAGTGCTTAATTGTCATGGGTGGCACTTGCTGGACTGATAAAACAGTCCCATGTTCAAATTGGAAAAGGATGTGAAAGATTCCTTGATAGTTAGCATTCCAACATCTCTGCATACCAAAAAGACATTAAACCACAATCCATTCTTCTACATCCCTTTAACTTCATGACATGCTAATTTCTTATTTTACAGGATTTCTTATTAATAACATTCTTTTATCATTTTAGAATCAAAGGCAGGTAATGAAATTTCATTGGCCAACGAGTCCCAGTTTCTTCTGTTAAGTAGAGAAAGTGTGAAAGCTTTGGTTAAAAGAATTCAAGAAGATAATGATCAGATATTTAGAGAAAAAAAAGAAAGTGAATTATTAGAAACAGCAACATTAGGTAATTATGGTGTACTACTGGTAAATGGTGAAAAAGTAAGATTACCGGTATCAAATAGATGGAGGACGATTTAAGTTTTTAAAAGGATCTTAATGAAATTATAACTAATTTTTACATGGTGAATGACTAAACATCTACATGCACTAATTTTATATTCAACTGCTTGTACTATGTTTTGGGGGGCATTGTTCTTGTATTGATTATGGATTGGACGAACAGTATGTCTTGTTTACAAAAGAGTAAAAATATATTTATTATTAATACTTCAGGTGAAGAGAATTTAATAAGTAGATTTCGTGCTAATCTAGTAATAGGTGGTGGATTGAAATTTGAAGAAGATAACTGGTCGAACATTAACATTGGGTCAAATAAAATGGTGGTAAGTTAACTTGAATATCAATATCAACCAGATTTTAATCTTCTACATTACTGTATATCCATACTGCACTGCCTCCATTCCACATATTCTCTGCATACTTTTCCAATTCCCCACATTTCTGTAGCTGTTGTTATAATTAGCAGAAGCTAAAATATTGAATATTGATCAGCCAGTTTGCTTAATTTAGAAAGGAAACAATTGTTGAGGTTAAATCAAATCTACCCTTAAACTGCTACATTGTTTGTTCCTTTACACTAGAATGTAGACAGACCTTTTAAGATTTCAATCCTCTGGCAACGGTAAACCGGAATAACGTCCATCATGTACAGAATATGGATGTACAATGTGGCTGCCCATTTGTAACATACACTAAGAAATCAACTGAGAAATAATTAATACTTTTATTTCACTGGTTTTATCTAACATTTGATGATTATCATGTTTTATTACAGAGTCAGGGTGGTTGTAGTAGATGTCAGATGATTTGTTTAGATCAAACAACAGGAACTAGAAGTAAGGAACCTTTAAAAACTCTGGCATCATGGAGAGGCAGAAAGGTAAGAATCAATCCTTTTTTTCCTTTCCCCTATTATTTTCAATGGTTATAGTTGTAATGATGCGGAAAAAAATGTGTGCACTCTATCATTCAAAAACACAAATTGACAGCGCCATTTGTGGTTCCTGATTTTTATACGCCCACATGGAAATGTGGTCGTATATTGCCGTCGCCTCGTCCGTCCGTCTATCGTCCATAATTTCTTGTGAACACTCTACGAACTACATTTATCATCTGATTGTTTTGAAATTGATATATGTTGTTTGCATTAGTGAGATAAAAAAGCCTATTTAATTTCAATAACTTCCGTTAATTTCTTCTGGAGTTATGGCTCTTGTTTCACTTTGTTGCACCTTGTGAACGCTCTAATGAAAACAGTTATCATCCGATCTGTTTGAAATTAATATGCATCATTTAAATTAGTGAAATGAAGAAGCCTATTGAATTTCAGCAATTTCCTTCAATTACGTCTAGAGTTATGGCCTTTGATTTACTTTGTTGAATCTTGTGAATGCTCTAATGACAACAGTTATCATCCGATCTGTTTGAAATTGATATGCATCATTTAAATTAGTGAAATGAAGAAGCCTATTGAATTTCAGCAATTTCCATTAATTACGCCGTGATTTATGGCCATTGTTTCACTTTGTTGTACCTTGTGAATCAGTGATGGGATTTCAAAATTTTTCTTTTCAGACATTTTTACCGAAAATAAAGGGACATAACTCTTATCGTTATTTAAGATGGCAGTTTTTAGACCACACACAAAAATCATGTGTAAACAAAATATTCAAATTCGTCCGTAATAAAAAGAAATAGGTGCACCTCGTTATTTTTCATATTTAATTCCCGTACGGTATTCAAATTTATGTCAGTAACATTCCTACAAAATTCGTAATACGATAAAATGAAAGCGTGCCGACTACTGCCGATCTGTACTGTTTCAAATTCCTCCAAAATTAACGTATTTATCGGATGATAAGTCGCTACATTTTTCAAAAGAAGTCCGGCATTAGTCTTATACTCTGTTACGACTTTTTTGGGCAATAAACGTTGCTCTACCACAACGAACGAATGATACCATTCGCTAAATAATCGCATTGTATTCTAGCACGCGCTATCGTCTAAAACAATTAAGTACTTACACTATTCCAATCAACATATTCGTCAACATTGCCTAGATTACTTATTTCTTTATTTAAAAACATAAACCCCATTCAAAATATGATCATAAATCCGAGAATATGCCATCAAAATAGAATCTTTTCTTGGACATTAGAAACATGTATTTTGTCACATATTGTTTCACTTTGTTGAATCTTGTGAACGCTCTAATGACAACAGTTATCATCCGATCTGTTTGAAATTGATATCCATCATTTAAATTAGTGAAATGAAGAAGCCTATTGAATTTCAGCACTTTCTGTTAATTACGCCATGAGTTGCGGCCCTTGTTCCTCTATGCTGTACCATGTAAATGCTATAACAACAAAAATTATTATCCCATCTGTATGAAATTTATATGTATCGTTTAAATTAGTAAAACAAACAAGCCTATTGAGTTTCAGTAAATTTCTGTTAATTACATCTAGAGTTATGGCCCTTGTTTAACTTTGTTGAATCTTGTGAACGCTTGAACGACAAAAGTTATCTCCTAATGTGTATGAAATTCATATGCATCATTTAAATTAGTGAAATGAAGAAGCCTATTGAATGTCAGCAATTTCCGTCAATTACGTCGAGAGTTATGGCCCTTGATTTACTTTGCTGAACTTTGTAAACGTTCGAACGACAAAAGTTATCATCCAATCTTTATGAAACTTTTATGCATTATTTGAATTAGTAAAACAGAAAAGCCTGTCGAATTTCAACAATTTCTGTAGATTACTTCCAGAGTTTCGGCCCTTGTTTTAGTTTTTAGAACCTCGTGAACCCTCAAATGACAAAAATTATAATGTCATCTGTATGAAATTGTCTATTAAATTCCCCTAATTACCTACAAAAGAATAAATATGTGACAACCCTTGTTGACTGCTCAGACGATTTAGCTGCTGTGGGCCTGGCAACCTATCTTTGTACAGATGATCTCATCTCTTTTTTTTTTCAGGTACCATTTGGCATCCATGTACGGATGGAATCATTATCAGAAACACAGAATGTTCTTACAGTTGGTGACACTGTGATGCCAGTTTGAAATTATTGAATTTATTTTATTTAACCAGAGAAATGCCTTTTATTTATACATTTTATATAATGCATTATTTATAAATTCATATTTATCCAAATGCTTTTTCTAGTCATTTTTTTATGTAGAAATTTGTAAATCAAATAAAGGCCATACAAATAATGAGCATTTTCGGTGCAGGTAAAGCAGAGTGATAAGCAATTTGATTGGTCGAGACTTTGGAGCTAGACACTTTGATTCTAATTGAGTGAGAATGGTGAAACTTGGCGCATATCATTACATCAATACCTTGACTAAGTTCGATAATGTGCATTTCCTATATTTTCATTACATCAGTACCTTGACTAAGTTCAATAATGAACATTGTCTGCATCAATGTTTTGGGATATGATAACTTTGATTCCATTTGAATGAGAGTGGTGAAACTTGGTGCATAGTTTCATTACATCAAACTCAAAGTATAGTTTCAGTACATCAATACCTTGACTAAGTTCGATGATGAGCAGTTTGATTGATCAAGACGTTTGACCTTGACAACTTTGATTCTACTTGAGTGAGAATGGTGAAACTTGGCCTATAATCATTACATCAATACCTTGACTAAGTTCAAATACCATGACTAAGTTTGATGATGAGCAATTTGATTGTTCGAAACTTTGGAGCTCAACAACTACAATTCTAATTGAGTGAGAATCAATCTGATTAAAATACAGATCTATATTTCGTTTCGTTTTTTTATACACCTGATGGCCTACACTACATGAAGATCTGACAAGTTATAGCGATAGATCACGTCAGGGGTCAAAAGACCGACTTATGACCCTATGACGTCAGACATTTGATTAACCAATCAGCATTGATGTTACTAGTGGATTACCCACAGTTCCCTGAAAAACACGCCTAAAGCTCGCCGTAACAGACCGTTTCATTGGCTTATCCCTGACACCATTCAGAACACAAGTTAAATAACAACTCTTCCAGATCCAAGTGTAGTAAAGACAAGTAAAACGAAATTTTGAACTATAAAAACGAAACGAAATAGGATCTGTGTTTTAACCAGATTGGAGTGAGAATGGTAAAACTTGGCGTACATGTATATCATTACATCATTACCATGACTAAGTTTGACAATGCGCATTTCCTATAGTTTCATTACATCAATAATGAACTGATAAGCGAAATGATTGATACTTTATGAAAAGATGAATATGCAATTAAAAAATGTGTGTCATCAAATTACTTTTTCAATTTGGTGGGGGACGTCAGCCTCACTGTTGACTTGTTTATTGTTTTTATACATGTAGGAATTCACTTACATAATTTTGTTATATTTTAAATACAAGATAGTTTTTTTAATGTTGATTTTGATATCATTATAGTCTTCCATTTGTGATAATTTAGGTTGTTAATTGAGCTTTAAATTGTTACTTTATGATTAACTATAGTATAGTTGACATTATTAGAGACTCATATTAAATGTGCTTGTGATCTCAAACTTTAATCTTCACATTTCCTTGTAACTATAGAAACACCTTTTTAAGAAGTTTATTCAATGTTAATAATATTATTATTTTATTAATTTTTAAAAACTGATTTATTTTTCAGTCATTGTGTATATTTTTGAAAATAAAGTTAATTGAAAAGACATTTGAGCTATTCCTTATGGACAGTATTCAAAATAAGATTTTTACCTGTGACACTGACAAGTCTTGAACAATTGTGTTCCAACTTATAATCTGGGGGTCTTGTCCAGAGGAGCTTTGTATGTAGCTTATCAGGGGTTTTTTATTACTGTAAATATCGTTATCATTCATCAAACTGCTCCTTAAAAATATTCAGAATTAAAGCAATATAGTTGCCAGCTCACTTTGTAATCGGATATCTGGTCCCTGCATAATATGGGCTATTATATGTTCAGACAAAAGAAATTCTTCAAACTGAGTCCATTGTGAATTATTAAAAAATGATTCTCCCAGCTAACAAGGTATATAGTGCATATTCTGAACTCTGTGCAGTTTTCAGTTACAGAAAATCCTGCACATAGCCATTGAAATAATATATGGTACCAGTAGTTTGTATTGCAGAGTTGATTCTACCTTCAATTTGTTCAAATGAAATAAAATGGGTTTTAGCGTTCCACTTTTCTTCTGCAACCGGGCTAATGAAGATGACGTACACCATGCAGTATACTATGGGGGAAATGTTGCTCTGAGAGAGGCGCTACTCAGCTACAACCTACTCTTACTTCAAAGTTCAAACAACTGTCAAGGGTTCTAGCTTTTACATGTATGAATGAATGAAATGATGGTTTAAACATCCTACTTTTCTGCACCAACAGGGCTTATGAAGATGGGCATATGCCATACTGGGTGTTTTGAGGAATATTTTACCTGGACAGCAATTGAATTTCAAATGCCAATATGTACACGGGACCTTGGTTTTTCATTCCATCCAAACGACAATATGCTGTTCCTTGTCAGGCTTTCCATTCTGTATCTTTGACAAGAGGTAAATACGCCGGAAAATACCAAGGAACTTTCTCTGCCAACACCGGATCAAACTCTGGAGCTCCTGGTTAGTGAGCCTGCGTATTAGTATTAACCTTGGTTTTCGATCCCATCCGAATGACCAAAAGCTGTTCCTTGTCCCGAGGAATTTTCTCGGCCAAGACAGGGATTGATCGAACACCAGACCTCCTGTTTAGTCAGACACCATGGTTCTTCAAATTGGTCATGGTATGCTTATGGCTAGATCTATTATTTATATTTTATCCCCAATTGGCTTACTTTTGAGTAAGAGCTTCATTTACCATTGCACTGATTACTATTGGAAATCAGGGGGAGACAACCAAACAGATTGATAAATGGCTTGATCCCCGTTATTATTTTATATTACGCGGTTACCAAAAGTATCAGTTTTCGCAATTTTATTAAGTTTCATTTTCAATTAGCATTATTATTATACGGAAACTATAAATTAGATAATGTATGTGTTATGCAACCGCATACCACACGTCTTTGAAAGTAAGTGATTTGATCCTCGTCCTAGATTTACTAATTTCAGACTATTAATAAATGGCCACGACTGACTTCCGGTGGAAGAAAATGATTTACAATGTGTAAAAATTATGTTATTTTTCTCATTCTAAGGCAATACACTCCTCGAAAACTATTTTTGATAGAGGTTTGTGGAAAACTGTAATTATGTCTTTATTAACGGAACCAATAAAGCTATCTGTTCCTTGGAAAAAGTGTTTGTTATGTAAAGAAACGGCAGCTTTCAAATCGCCTCGAGACTTTTGTCAACATCTTCGTGATTTTCACTGTTCAAAAGAAGGTGGTTCCTATGTTTGTCGATACGGAATGAATAACGTTTGCCAATCCCTACCAGTTGATGGCGTCAGTGACAAAGATTATGAAGATCATGTTGCAAAAGATCATGTCTATTGTGGAGTGGGTAAGTAGGCTACCGGCAATACACTAATGACTAATTAGTAATTTAAATTAATGACCATATCAGTTTCGACCATCATTTATCCATACCGTAATCCATTGTGCAATAAAACTAAAATAAAATGACGCTATTTTGTTGAATGTAGCCACTTAAGTTTTGCAGAACTGCTCAACTGCAGATAGTTGAGATAGTATCTGTTAAATTAATGAATGCCAGTCAAGTCGTCCACAGACCACAAGCAAAGTCGTCCACATGAAAAATCTGGTGAAGTCGTCCACACCGGTTGGTGGAGTCATCCATACGACTTAGTTTAATTTCGGGTTGTAGAAATACTGTAGTTAAGTCGTCCACACGACATAGTTTACTAATTAGGGAACTAACTCTTCCGATACAAAATACAAGCGTGGGATTATAACTTACTCTTCCAATATTGGGGTTGGTCTAGTCTTGTATATTCATTATTCAATGCCATCGACATCCATATGCAGCTCACTTTCGCCATTATCCATACCATCTATTTTCACATCATCCATTTCCACTACATGTACATCCTCTTCCCTTCTCACCTAGACCTCTTCCCCTCTCATCTCCACATCATCCTCCAGATCACTCGCGAAGGAAGGAGCGTTGGGCAGTTGCTTTAGTGTGTTACGTTTAATTTGCAATGAGACTTCTTCAACATGATGAACGTCTACATGCTATTGGCATGCTTCAAATGGGTTCTACGCAGCAAGCAGTAGCTAACATGCTGAATGTGTCACAGTCTGTGATCAGCAGACTGTGGAACCGGTACCAACAAACATACAGGTCCTGCGAAATCGAGGGCAAACGGCCAAGTTACAGGGATTCGACTTACACCCCAAACGATTAGAAATCAGCTACATGAAGCCCATTTGCATGCGCGACGACCGTGTGTTGTTATTATTTAATTTATTATTATTATATAGCGCTATCTTCCACATACGTGTTCAGGTGCGCTTTACAATAAATACATGTATAGAAAATAGAAAATCAGTAAAAAATAATAATTATAGAAACAGTAAGAAAATCAGTAAAAAATAATAATTATAGAAACAGTAAGAAAATCAGTAAAAAATAATAATTATAGAAACAGTAAGAAACTAAATATCTGTAAAATCAGTACAAAAATAAATATATAAATATCTATAAAATACATATGGTTAAGATTTAAGACTAATTCAACAATTAAAAGCCTCTTGGAATAAGAAAGTTTTAAGTTTAGATTTAAAAGTTGTTAAAGAGGTACAACTGCGGATACTAAAAGGCAAGAGATTCCACTGCTTTGGTGCTTGAAATGAAAACGATCGCTCTCCATAACTTAAAAAGTTGGCTCTTTTTTCCGTTAATAAAAAGTTGTCTCTGGATGACCGTAACGTTCGAGAAGGTTTATAAATATCCAAAAGACAGGACAAGTAAAAGGGCGCCATACCATTAAAACCTTTAAAAGTCAATAAAAGTATTTTATATTTAATTCTAAAAACAATAGGCAACCAGTGCAGTTCAAATAAAATTGGGGTAATATGCTCATTATATTTTGTGCATGTGATCAGTCTTGCTGCTGAATTCTGCACTTTTTGGAGTTTCTCAATAGTGCAACACGGTGTTGTGCCTCCATTAACTCGCCAGCACATGGCAAACAGGCGTCAATGGTGTAGGCAGCGTAGAAATTGGGGTAATCGTCGATGGGTGCGTGTAATGTTCTCAGATGAGTCCAGATTTACTCTGGATTTCACAGATAGACGAGCTCGCGTTTGGAGACATGTAAATGAGCGTCATGCTAACGTTAACGTCAGACAGCATGACAGATTCGGGTTTGGGTCTGTTGTGGTGTGGGGAGGAATCACCATGACTGGCAGAACGGACTTGCATATTGTTCAAGGAAGGGTCACTGGTGTGTACTACCGTGACCACATCATGGCACCGATAGTTCTGCCCTTTGCTCAACGTGCAGGTCGACGTTTCATCTTTCAAGATGATAATGCCCGTGCCCACCGTGCTCTTGTCGTGAATGACTACCTCCAGCATCACCATATTGTCCATATGCCTTGGCCAGCCATGAGTCCTGACCTCTCCCCTATAGAGCATGTCTGGGACATGATCGGGAGACATTTACGTCAATGTCAACCAACAACACTGCAAGAATTGGCCGTGGCACTGCAAGAGGAGTGGGTCAGATTGCCCTAAATCGTGATTAGAGGGTTGATTAGGAGCATGCCACGACGAATTGCTGAATGTCTGAGGATTGATGGAGCAATTACTCATTATGAAGTCAAAAATCAAAAACGTCCATTTTCACTTTTGACAGTGTATCTCTTTGCAAGTGAAATGGGGCCGTCAGATAAGCCGCCCATATGAACTGTATGTTCATGTGTAGGCAATTGGCCTGTTATTAACATACACTGGTTAACTCTATTAAAAACAGCAGTGCGTTTCCGGAGTTTTGTATTATTTCTGAATATCCCTCTTGGAAGAGTATATATCAGTAAGAACTAATGAAGGTAATGAATGTTAAATTTTACGGTCAATATATACCCAAACTTCATATGAAGCCATTTTGCAATTAATATGACAGTGAGTTAAATTTAGCTAATCTTCAATGGGCGGCGTGTTTAAGCTTCAAACCAATTGTGGCTAAAATAACAAACAATACTTTATTACAAAAACATTGTTAATATTAATCAAACAATCAAAAATGCTAAAATCATAACGGCGATTAACAAACAATACAAGTATACTTCATTACAAAATACAAATATACTTCTTCACAAAAAGACTGTTAATACTAATCATAAATGCTAAAATCATATTTTGGCGAACAAAACTGACTAGAAATTGCAATAAAAGTTTTAAAAAATAAATGTAAATCAGTTTACCATTTTTTTTTATTGGTTATGTCTTATCAGAACTCCTCCCCTTATTTGTTGCACATTCATTCATTACAATAATGTAAGCGGTGAGCTCATTCTGGTATCTTGCCAAAAATGTCCCATCCAGTGTCTACTGATACTGAAGGTGTCCACACTCCACACACTACAGAATTGAAAAGTATAGAGCCATCCATTAACCTATTTGGAAGATCATACATGTAAGCTCAAGGAATGAAATGGTTCAGAACTAAACTAATGAAATAGGCACTGTACATTTTTATATTATTTAGGTGGTGCAAGAAGTAAAATAAAATCCCGCTCAACACCAGACAGATCGGATGATGAGTACACGTCCTCAGTTAGCTCAGAACCTAGTATTGTACAAGATCAATACAGATGGACTATATTTAACTCTTCTGTTAATTTACCAGCAGTTTTAAATAATCCACGATTAGCTAAACGAGAAACAGATTTCTTCACCAAAACATGGGGTACAGATTTCGACCAAATGGATATTTTGCCATCGCCATACATCCCTGAAATAACTGCTGGCGATTTTGATAATTACCTACGGAAAACAGCTGCTGTAAGTAAAGTGCTGTGTATTAATAATAGATAACTAAGCTTAATTAACTTATGCATTGAAAACCACAGTTATACATATAGGTTTACTTTGTATACATGTACATAAATACATCATAAAGCCTAATAAATAACTAAAAACTAAAAATACAGTTTTGCACATCCACATGATACATGTCCTTTTACATATTTAGTTCCAATGGATAATCCATCATAAAGCTTATTAAGATGAAGGTGAAGCAACTTAGCACTAGCAAGAATATTTTTGCATTCCTTTTATTGTAATTCGAAATGTTTTTGTAGATATTAACATTTTTAGATCATTACTTTTGGAATACATTGTATACGCCCCATGTGTGGGAATATTTCTACGTTATGTGTGGATATCTTTATATTCGAAAAAAAGCTTTTTTTATTTTTCTTTATAGCGACATAGAAAACATGTAAGAAATGTTAAAAGATTATCAGAACCCTCAGATAGAGCTCATCCTTTACACAATATAAAAGAACTGGGTAAGTCGTAATTATTTTGTACAGGTTGTGACCAAGAAACTTTTAGAGATTTTATATACATTGTTTTGAGTTATGACATGTTATTATCTTTATCTTACCAGAATTGTTTAACCAGACTTGTATTTCACCGTCTTGTTGTAATTCTTAGCTTAAGTAAGTTTTACGTCTTCCGAAAACTTTTAAGAATGGTTTTACAAGAAATATATGATATATATACCATATGACTGTGTAAGGTAGTTAGAAGTTTTAAAAATGAATTTTCTTTTTATAGAGAAGAATAGAGAGGAATTGAATCAAATCCCGAAGGTAAGGATAGAAATGAGTTTAATATTTATTGCATATAAAATTAGTATCTTGAAACATCCACA